AATAATAATAATAATAATAATAATAAATTAAGCAGAGTGTGTAGTGAGTGCATAGAGTGTGTGAGGATTCACTGCCCAGGGCGATGATGGGCAAGTGAGACTCCCCAGGCTGATTTTCCACCCAAGGTGCTTCCAGATGTTTCCCAATTGCAATTTAATAATTGAGATATTTGCAATATCACACAATTTCCCTGATGGTGACTCGTTAAGTGTTGATAATTAAAGCCCTGGTAGTGGCTCAGACAGTGGATACATTCATGGCTCTTTTATTCCCTCAGAACTGTCAACACAAGAAAACTTTGGATTTTTGATTTCACACCTTTGAGCAGTTTTCCCAGGGGAGATGATATGGGATGCGAGGGGGTGTCTGCATCCCACACCCACCTGGAAGGAGCCAGGTGATCCCCAACTTACCCAGGAAATGGGAATGAATCCTGCAGAGCCAGCCCAGGCCACCGGACACCTTCCCACATCAAGGAGCAAAACCAACCCCAAGGTGCTGGGAACAAACCCCAGTACCACCTGGGGGACACCCAGAGATGGATCACAGCATCCTGCTTCAAACCCGAGGAGAAATCACACTTCACTCGTTATTTTAAGATATTAATACCTTAAATACCAATTAAACCCCCCAGAAGATGCTGTGCAGAGGGGGAACGAGGAGGAGCGTGTCCTCGCGGAGCGGGCAGCGCTGGAAAGGGAGCAGCAGACACCAGTGATGCTCAACAGGATCTCACGTTTATTACCGAGAAGTGATTAATGGTGAAAAGAAAAGGCAACGCCCATTCCTCATTGGCTTAACAAGAAACTGAAGGAACAGATTCACTACACATTTTACAATATTTTTCTTTTTTTTTTTGTGTGTGTGTGTGTGTGTCCAAAATTCGTTTTCCTGTAAACAAAACAAGTTTTTTTTTACCACTGTTCTCAGCTTTCAAAAATTCAAATTAATCCAGATTTCAGCTGTAAACCCATATAATGCACAAGAACAGAAGGTTTCTTAGGACTCCTGACTTTTGAGTAACAAAAGGGTCAGAGAAAAAAAAAAAATGAACCACCTTTAAGACACAACCTCGTGGACAATTTTGGTTCAATTCTTCTTAGGCCAAAACCCCCAAATTCCTTGTAGAATTCCTCCTCTTCCAGGTCAGGGTGGGGAAAGAGAAAAAAAAAATACATAAAAAAAGAAGTTATTCCATTTTCCATGGTGGATGTTACAACTGGGTGTTCCAAGTGCAAATGTCAAAACCAGGGGAAGGAAGGAGGCGTGAGGGGGTGGAGGGAAGCGGCAGGGTTTAAAAATTAAGAGAGGGGGGAAAAAAAAAAAGGCATATGCCACTTATGGACTTTAAAATCTGAAAAAAAACCCTCCCATAGTAAAAAGACAAAAAAAACCAAAGCGTATGCTCCAAAATCACAACCAAAGCCAAAAGAAAAGGGACAGTTTTTACCTATACTCTAGCTAGAAGGGATTTTTTTTTTGTTGTTTTTGTTTTTTTAAAGTCCTATGTCTCGTGAAATTCCAAAATTCCAATGCCTTTTGTTTTGTTGTTGTTGTTTTTTTTTTCCTTTCTTTTTTTTTAAACTGCGAGTTTTTGTAAGAGTCTTTTTGAAGTCAATGAAATTAAGAAAAAAAAAAAAAGTCCTAATTTTCTCTGGGATTGATTTTTTTTTTTTGCTTTCTTTCTCTCTCTGAAAGTCAGCTGGGATGAGACCTCTGCTGCAGTCTCTGGGGGAGGAATGGCCTTTTACTTGACACGGCCTTGGCGTTCCTGCAAAAGGAAAAATAAAAAGAACACGTTAGTCAAGAGCAATTTTATTAATCACTTGCACACGTCAGCATTTAAACACGTGGATCTGCGATGGGGGCCTGACCCAAAAGAGGAGGAAGGTGTTTCTCTTTGCACAGGAGGCTCCGGGGCTGCGCACGGCAACGCGACGGATCTGACAGCGCTGGGGTCGACCAGCTTGTCACGCTTCCCCTTGTCACCACAGCTCTGCTCCTCTTAGAATCCCAGACTGGTTTGGGTTGGAAGGGACCTTAAAGCTCATCCAGTCCCAACCCCCCTGCCAGCAGCAGGGACACCTTCCACTAGACCAGGTTGCTCAAAGCCTCATCCAGCCTGGCCTTCAACACTTCCAGGGAGGAGCAGCCACAGTTTCTCTGGCCAACCTGGGACACTGTCTCACCACCCTCACACCAAACAATTTCTTCCTCACATCTCAGCTCCATCTCCCCTCTGCCACTTTCAAGCCATCACCCCTTGTCCTGTCACTCCCTGCCCTTGGCCAAAGTCCCTCCCCAGCCTTCCCGGAGCCCCTTCAGGTACTGGGAGGCCACTAGAAGGTCTCCCTGGAGCCTTCTCCTCTCCAGGCTGAACAGCCCCAACTCTCTCAGCCTGTCCTCACAGCAGAGCTGCTCCAGCCCTCGGATCATCCTTGTGGCCTTGTTCTAACAGGTCCACATCTCCCTCCTCTTCCTCTCTCCTTGCTCACAGCAGCAGTCTGCAGCAGAGTTACAGGCTCTCCCCAGGACAGGCTGCTCCAAGCTTGAGGTTTAATAGCTTCAAAGAGAAACAAAACAAAACAAAACAACAAACCCAAAAAACCCCCAAACAACCAAGGACAAACTAAGGAAGAACTGGTGAAAAAGGGGGGAAAAAAAGTGATTTTAGGTCAATACTGAAGTTTGCAGCTGCAGTCAGTGAGGGATCAAACAGGGGTGACAATATTCCCCACTCCTGGGCACGGACCCACAGCACCCATGAGATGTGGGTGGAAACCAGCAGAGCTCTGGACTGGAGAAGACTTTGGGAGCAGGACTTGGGAGTGCTGTGGGGATCAGGCAGAGACTCTTCATCAGGAAAAAGAAAGAGGAAGCAAGGAATGAATGCTGGTGTCGGTGGCACAGCTCTGCTGGAGCAGGGCAGCCCGGCTCCCCAGACACCCCGGGTGTTGCACGGACCCTACAGCCTCACCCGAACTCCCACGTGGGTGTCCAAGCAGACTGCAGCTCAAGTCTAGGGAGTCCTGATTTCCTCAGGGCTGAAACAGCCCACAGCTACCAGCACAACACCTCACTGATAACTCTGAAACCTACTGATGGCATCTCACTCAAAAACAAAACAAAACAGGTTCACAGGACTCCCAAGGGTTGGCACCACAGGGATTTCCCACCGACTGCTGCTACCACTCCCTTGGAATTCATCACATCTCTCCTCCAGCATCACAGGAACACAGTGTCCAAACATCTGCACCCAGCTGAACAGGCAGCAGAGCACCAGATACACCCAGGCACCCACCCATGGCTGCTATACCCTCTCCTGTGCCACGCACCACAGTCTCTGCTCTGTTAAACCCAACAAAACCCAGCAGCTTCTCACAGAAGTGGATCTAGATTATCCCAAGAGGTTACGAGACGCTGCCCAGCCCACGTTCAAAGTGCTGTTTCCAGCTCCTATGACACCACCTGAAAAATAAAACTTGTCAACAGCTGAAGGGCTCTTGGCTGATGCTCCTCCCTGCCTCGGAACTGCATCTTCTTGAGCACAGGCAAGTCCCTGCACTCTCCTGTGTGAAGGGCACTGTGGTGTTTTGGCTCTGGCTCCTGTACTCTGTGGTGGAACAAGTTCATCACCACCTAAGCCAGTCCTGAGCGATGCCAAGTCCATCCCGCCTCCACACTGAGGCAACACCTGCAGTACCCAACAAGGTGGTTCTCCCTTGTGTTAATTTATGTCACAGGGACACTGTTAGGGCTCAAACTCATATCTGGTTGTTTCAGCTCAGGATGTTTCCATGGCTCTGCCCAGGCTGTGTTCTCCACCGTTGGGGCAGCAGCAGAGCTGCCTGTCTGCTTCCCCCTGCCCCACATCAACCTGCTCATCAGAGGCACATTCCCTTCCAGAGGAGCACAAAACTCTGCCAGGAGCACGTGGGTTGATCCAAAAAACACCATCCTCTGCCACCACTGTTAAATCTGGGGAGAAATTGTCTCTGAGAAGCTTCAACCCCTGGCTAACAGCACTTACAGCCATCTATTCCTAGAAACCTTCCCCAAAAAGGGAGGCCTTGCATCCAGCTCATAACAGGTTTTGGCAGCCCCCCAACCCCCAACCCCATGCTCACAGTGACCCAGGGAGGGTTCAGCTCCAACTCCTCTGCACGAGCTGGATGGCAAAGCGAGTCCTGTGTGATACAGTGAACAGATTGCCTTGTGGGGAGAGAGAGGGATTAGACAAAGGCATGTATTCCCTTCAAGAGTATCTGCCCTGCATCAAGTCGATTTCATTCTCCTCTTCTCCAGTCAGTCTGCCCAGATCTGTCCCAGGCCCTTATTCTTTACTCAAAAACCGCTGCCGTGCAACAGCAAAATAACAACTACCACAAAAAACAAAGCCAGGCTTGAACACAGAGTAAAACCAGGGAGAAGCCACAAATCAAAAGGAAGGTGCCAAGCCCTGTTCCTCCTCTGCTGCCTGGCTCGGTAGCCAGCACCGTGACGTTAAACAAGGACAGATGGCACTGTGACACATTCCTTCGGGAAGGAGCCGGAGCTAACGCCTCTGTCTTCCCAAACGCCGCCTGTCCTGCTCTGCTCGCCGTGTCCCTGGCTGGCTGCAGTGGCCAAGGGTCCTGCTGAGCAGGCCACACCCCCTTAGCTGACCAGTCAGACCCCAATTAGTCACTTCTCCTCCCCGCTGTGAAGGTGAAGCTGCTCCCGAGGCTGGTATATGGTTAACACAGGGAGTGGGGAACAAGCCCCAGCCTTGGTACAAAAGTGACATCACCCCCCCTCAAAATCCCACTGTGCCAAAACAGAAGGCACCACCTTCAAAGGAGAGGCTAGATGAGATGTCCCTGTGTCCCCAAACTAGAGAGGGGACCAGACAGACATGCCCTGAAGTGAATATTTTAATTTCAGGGTGGATTACAGCCTAATTTTTCTCTTCCCAATCTTCTGTTTAAAACCTCCTGCTACTCAACCTCAAAACAGCGGCGCAGAATGACCCGCTCCCCTCCGCCAGCACCTCAAACTGTCTCCTAAGGAGCCTGCAACAGAAAAACACAGCAAGACACTTGCTGCGGGCTCTCGAGGGGCTGACTTCAACACCTCCCTCGATCTATCTTGCCTTGCCCTCCATGAAGAGCCAGGCTCTGGGTAGAGCCAAGCTTCCACCCCGGGAGATGTGGAGGCAGCCAGGCAAGAGCTCTGCCCGGCCAAGCAGGCGCTGCCGAGGGCAGCAGGGATGCAACAGCTTTTTGCTCATGTCAGTATTGTTTGTCTTGCTCTTCTCACAGTTGCTCTCTTGTGTCTTCTCCTGGGAATGAGGGGGATAAGCCAGGACCTGAAGGATTTTTACACCATCTAATCTGTCAGTCCAGCTCCAGCACACAAACACATTTTGGTCCTCGGGGTGTTGTGGAGTTACAAGTGAGCATCTAAATCATAGCAAAGCAGCAAACAGATCTACCAGCACACATTGCAAAGGTTAGTGGTGTTGCAAACGTTCATCCTCCCTGGCTCATCTTCCTCCAAAATCATGGGCTGTGGGATGGTGTAACCCACAGGACAGCCCAGGAGAAGGCAGAGCAGTGTCTGCACGCACACGCTGGGTTTGCTCTGGCATAGAGTCCCCGGAGAGCAAAGAAATTCCATCAGAAAGTGTTTTATTCTCTTCAGCTGCACTTTCATTAGACCTGGGCTGTGTCTTATTGATCCATGTGGGAGGAGAAAAGAAAAAGACACCAGACTCTCATCTCCATCTATTAAATCCCTCAGCAACCGGAGGGGCAGGAGCACGGCAGCACCAAAATGGCTGAAGCACAAAGCCACACACCAATGACTAGAAAGACACATGTCACCACTCAAATCAAGTGCTGACACCCACACATCACCACTGTGCTTCTGAGCTGATGGTGTTTAGAAGCACCAAGCTCAGACAAGGCAAGCATGTGTAAGTAGGAACCCTCAATAATCATCTCCAATGTCCCTGGGGGGGGGCTGCAGCAATGTCACAAGCCAGGTCCTGATAATAAGGAGCTGGTGGAGAAGGTTGATGAGAGATTACATTATCCAGTCACACTGTGAGGAGCCAACAACAACAAAAGGCTCAAGAGTTCGTACCAGAAATGATGACAATAGGTGATAACGCCGCACAGAGGCTCTTACCTTGATTAACAACCAACGGTTCAACCTCAATTCTCCTCTGGCAAAGGTGAGGATATTATTGCCACACTGCAGATGGGGAAATAGAAGACTATAATCAACGGGAGGGCCTGGAGAAGAACCAAGAGCACAAGTCCCAGGTGTGCAGCTTCCAAACTGTGGTTTGTTTGGACCTGTCTGATCTGGAGCACAGCAGAGCAGTGGGAACACACAAGACAGGCCAGGAAACAGTCTCATATCTAAACCCAGAAGATCCTACAAGCCAAAGGCATCACTCACCCAGGAAGTGCCCACAAAGGAACAACAGGAGATCACTTCATATGGACTATGCTATCCCAGTATCATTCCCCAAAGGGCCAGGACACCCAGAAATCAAATACTGACCTTAAGACAAGCACAGGCAACTCTCACTCAGGAGACACCTTGCTCAACAGCCTGGCTCAGCCCACCATGAACTGCAACACCGCAACGTTTTCCTGCTCCAATTCTTCTCCCTGGATGCAATCCCAGCGAACAACGCCGCGGGAAGCCCGTGTGCCCATGTCTCTGAGGTGAATGTTTGACTTGCCTTAGGAATTAGGGCAGCTTGTTGCCCCAGAAGTG